CCGTGGGGACGGCATCTTGCGCTTCCAGCCGTGCTCTGGGCTATTGTGCATGAATGTGACGGTATTTAGCGTGTGTGGAACAGCCTGGGGGCTCTCCCCCACCCGCTCAGCGTGGGGCTGGCCTCCACTGGACGTTGTGCAGCCAGACGCTAGTGACCAGCACTAAAACCACCGCGGGCTGCGTGCTGGAGGGTGGGGGGAGCCCCTGTGAAAGGCTCAGGTGCTGAGCCCCAATGCTCCAGCAGCCTTCGCTCAGGGCTGGACCAAACGCACGGAGCTGCTCGGGAGGGAGGAAGGATGGGTTTGCGGTTAAATCCCGGCACCGGGCAATCAGCAGCCATGGCAGCTCTCCCCTGCCCTGCCCTGCCCTGCCCCGGATTTGCTGGGAGGTCTCTGGGCAAATCACTGCTTAGCCTGATGCTCCGGTTTCCCCTGTCTGTAAAATGGGGACCCTGCCCTACCGCCGAATGGGAGATGAGGACGGCCAGGCACTCGTGTAATGCCGCAGGACAGGTCTGAGCTGGGGAGCCCAACGCGGGGGAGATAAGATAGATTAACTCCCCCAGTGTAGGTCTGAGCTGAGGGGGGGCAAAGCAGAGAAACTCCTCCAATGCTGCGGTACCTGTCTGCGCTGAAAGCAGACGCATGGCCGGAGGGAGCGGGGTGAGGAGAGCGGAGGAGCTCTTGTAATGCGGCAGGACAGGCCTGACCGAAACCTCCATTGTCTGGCCCTAGCAGAGTCCCTCTTGCTCACCCCCCCCCGCTGCATTTCCTTTCGCCCTGGGCCGCCTCCTTTGCACCTCGCTCGCCTTGTCTTTGAACGGAACACGTGGGGGTTAGTGGCAGGAGCGGTTCTGCAGGTGGCTGCTGGGAATCGGGGCCCAATGGCCTTATGATGCTGGTTACAAAGGAGCGGAACCGGCGGAGGAGAGATTTTGTTTCTTTAATGCTGGAGGTGACTCGTTTTTATTGATGATTGGTGTATCGGCAGCACGTCAGGCCCCAGCCCCGTTGGGCCACGTGCTGTACGTACCCAGAACCGAGAACAGTCTCTGCCCTGAGGCGCTTACAGTCGAAAAGACCAGCCAGACCCCTGCTGAAGCTGAGGGATTTGAGCTTTGGGCAGTGAGGGGCCAATTTATAACAGCACAGGCCGTGTTTTCAAATACAATGTGATCTCCTCCTACAGCCTTTCTGAGCCCTGCGCACCCAGATCCCACCCGAGGGGGTGAGAGGCGGCTTGAATACAATAAGAACTGACCCCAAACCTTCCCTGCAAAGCCGGGGAGACAGATGATAGCAGGGAATGATGCGAGTCATTAGCATGGTGCATTGGCAGGCCTGGATGGGGGCCCAGGACTGGAGCAGCACCACTGGCAGGGAAAGGGGCTTGCAGCTGGACCCGGCCGGCGCTGGGAGCCCTCTCGGGTGAGCCTGGTACTAGCTGGATTGGCCGTGCGGCAGAGAATCCGGGTTCTCTCCAATTATCTATAGTGCCTAGGCCAGGGCCGATGGTTGGTTTGTTATTAGCTGGGGCCTGACCCTGTAAACATGTCAGCCAAGCTTCTGAACGGCGCTCAGGGGTCCTTCAACCAGTGACTCGTGGCACACAAATGTATCACGTGGCGAATGCAGGCCACCGCCTAATGCCAGCAAGCTCACGGGCAGAGCTCCCCCGGCCTTGCCTGGGAGCAGCCCTTGGCTCCCAGCAAGTCCGCGGGGCTCCACGCCAGAGGGTCCTTCTGCCGCGCTGTAAGGATGAGTAGCAGAGGACGCCATGGTCGCCCCGTGCAGCCGTCCGGCATGCCCTAGCTGTGCCCCCAACCAGGCTGTGTACGACCCACGGCTCTTTATTGTTTCCTATGGGAAATGGGTCTTAGAGCTGCTGGTAGAGTTAATTCTTCCCTACATCTCTTGCCATCACCTTGCTGCTTAGCTCTGCCTGGCTGCCCCCGCCCGGTTAGTGCTTGGGGTGGGGGGGTGTTGGCTGAGGGGGTTATGGTTGTGAGTGTGAATGGGGGAGCCCAGCATGTACATAGAATCATAGAATCTCAGGGTTGGAAGGGACCTCAGGAGGTCATCTAGTCCAACCCCCTGCTCAAAGCAGGACCAATCCCCAACTAAATCATCCCAGCCAGGGCTTTGTCAAGCCGGGCCTTAAAAACCTCTAAGGAAGGAGATTCCACCACCTCCCTAGGGAACCCATTCCAGTGCTTCACCACCCTCCTAGTGAAATAGTGTTTCCTAATATCCGCCCTAGACCTCCCCCACTGCAACTTGAGACCATTACTCCTTGTTCTGTCATCTGCCACCACTGAGAACAGCCGAGCTCATCCTCTTTGGAACCCCCCTTCAGGCAGTTGAAGGCTGCTATCAAATGTTTCTAGGCGGACGCCAGCCCGTGTCTGAGGCTGGAGCTAACCTAGCAACCATTACTATAGAGAGCAGACAGGACCCAGCGTTCTGTTAGGAAAACAGCTGGTCCTAGACAACCAGCGTGGGAGCTGTAGAGTGAGAGTTGCTTCATGCACACTGCATGGGTTTGCTAGCCTATGTGCTCCTCCTCGGGCTAAGGTAACAGGAATCCAAGTTACCCCTAGGAGGCAAATGGAGGCAAGGGGCCAGATGATCACTTGGTGTACACCGCCATATTGAAGCTATGCTGATTTTCACCTTCCTCCTGCACAGAGTCCCGCTGCCTGATTGTGATAATAGCACCGAGCTCTCACCTAGCACTTTCCATCAGTAGAGTCCAAAGGCGGGCGGTAGCATTAGCCCCATTTCACAGAGGAAGTCAATGGGGGCAGAGCCCATTGCCAATTGGGCCCTGCAGTCCCGTAACGAGGAACAGCAAAGAACGAGATACAGTTTGTAAGCTGGAGGCAAATCTAATGGCAAGAAAGGTGAATTTGGGGGGCAAAAAATGGAAACCCGCCGGAGATCTTAAAGTTGCTTATGGGAATTAAGGACTAAGTGGTTTAGCGTGTTGAAATGACATTTCAGTGGAAATAGAGACGTGGCAAGAGATCTGGCTTTGCTGTCTGGAAACCTGCCGTCTATATTGAGCGCATTCATGTCTTATTGCATGGGCAGTGTGCCTCTGCCCTGCGCATCTGCCCGGGTTCTGCACACAAGGGGCAAGGCCTGGCTTCTAGCCACTGTAGTTAAAGTCTATGAGTCTATTGAATGAACAGTGCAAGGACGGGGCCTTCTAAAGCGAGGAGCAGATACTGGTTCCTTTGGCCCCATAAATCTCTCTCTCTGACAAAAATGCTCCCCAAAACCCCACCCAAAATATCTGGGATTAAATGAGTGGCCCCAATTTATACATCAGGGTGAAATCCTGGCCCCACTGAAGTCAGGGGCAAAATTCCCAAAGATCTCTGTGGGCCAGGATTTTCCTTAGGGAACATTTCGATGTCATCGGAAACCCTGTCCCCAGCCCCGCTTTACTCTCCAGTCACTGAAAATGCAGTCAGGCCCAGAGAGCTTCCTTTCCCTGGTGATTTGTACACTCCTCGCTCCTAATTACCCTTGAAACAGATCCACCTGTCTCTAGGTAATCACCTCAGTGCCGGAACTGGGGGCGGTGGCCCTCACACCGCGTTCTGGAGGAGCGATTTCTGCGCTCTCTGGAATGGCAGGAATGCTGTGTGGAAGCTGAGGGGGAGGGATGTTTCCAGCCCCGCAGGCCCCGAAGGGAGTGGGACAAGATAGGAATCAGCCTGTCGCCTCCGCGTGCACAGTACAGTTCAAAAGCCCATAAGGCAGCCCGGTGCAGTGGATAAAGGCACCACCTAGGCTCTGCTACTTGCTCACTGTGTGACCTTGGGTAAGTCATGGGGGGGGGGGGCAAAGTTTTTAAAAGTGACCTTTAAATGTAGGTGCCTCCAATTTGGGGTCCCAGTGTTGGACACGTAGAGGGCCTGGCTTGCAGAGGTGCCCACTCGAAGCCATGAGGCTCAAATACTGAGCCACTCAGAATTCGAGCCCACTTTGGGAACGTCAGCTCTGGAAGGCTCGGTGCCTCAGTTTCCCCATCTATAAAACGGGCATAACGCTGTTGACCCCTCTGTGTAAAACACTGTGAAATGCATGAATGAAGAGCGCTCTCCAGCCACTAATCACCCCGGTTCTGTTTATAATCAGAGGCCTGAGGCATAACGCTCGGAGCTGGAGTTGAACCGGACCCGGCGTGGAAGGATGTGTGGGTTTGGGTCTGTCCACTCCAGAGATGAACCCCAGTCGAATAAGGCTGAAGCTCACGCCCCCGCAATGGGCTAGGGGTTCAAAGAGCCCCGCTCCACTGCAGGCACCTAACGAGGGGACAGATGTCGGAAGGATCTGAGCAGCCGATGGGCTGAAAATCTGGCCCGGGGGTGGGTGCTGAGCCCTTCTGACCATGCTGGTCCTACACCTCCCTGTGTCTCCATCAGCAATACCCTGCTACCGCCAAGGGTCATTTAATGGGTGTGAGCGGACGGGGGGCTATGAAGACACTGCCAAACCCCCCTCAACTTCAGGGCTTTGAAGACCAGAAGGGGCCATTGTGACGCTCCGGCAGAACAAAGGCCAGGGATCCTTGCCCGGAGCTCGGCCTCTTGCCTTCCCAGGTGAGTGGGGTTCGGCTCCAGGCCCCTGGGGTGCAACAACAAGAGCCTGGGAGTCAGTTCAGCCGCTGAGGGCCGGGTGGAGCAAGGCAACGCGCAAGGAAACCGGCCATGGGGACGTTCATTCCACTCTTGCGAGCCTGACTGGGCTTGAGCGGAAGGTTGCAGGCCCTGGGCGAGCCCAGCCCAGCTTCCAGAGGGGCACGGCCGCGAGTCATTGCCAGCCTTTGGGGCCCTGGGGCTGTGCTGAAGAACCGGCCCGACCTGCTTGCTATCTGGGCCTCGATCCCCCAGCGAGGAATGCAGGTGGCTGGGAACTGGAGGGCACAGCAGAGACCCTGGGGGCAGGGACATATCTGAACTGGGGGGCGGGGGAAGTGGTGGGGGGAGATCTTTCCCCTCTGCCATCCTCTTCACAGTAGTGCCCAGGACAGAGAGCGAGGCACAGGGGACCTCGCTGTCCCAGCTGCGGGCTCCAGGTCAGGCCAAGACACACCCAGGCTGTCCTCTGCTGCGATGGAGCTGCCGCTGCTGCTGCTGGTGCTGACTGGGATCTGCGCGGGCAGGGTCCTAGGTGAATTTTTGACTCTAACAGCTGATAGTGGTCTGGTGGTGCTGCCCGCTGGGGATGGGGAGGGAAGGGAGAGCGATGGGGTGGGTGGAGGGAGAGGGAAGCTACGGGGTGGTTGCGGGGGGGACGGGACGCTATGAAGTGAATGGGCAGAGAAGGGGAGGTTTGGGGATGGATGGGTGAGGAAGGATGCTGTGGGGTCAGGAGAAGAAGGGAGAAGCTGTGGGGTGAATGGGCTGAGGGGATCCTATGGGGCACGTAGATGGGGAGGGATGCTATGGGGTGGGTGGATGGGGAGGGACGCTATGGGCTGGGGAGAGGAAGGGAGAAGCCGTGGGGTGAATGGGCTGAGAGGGGGATCCTATGGGGTGGAAGGGTGGGGAGGGACGCTATGGGGTGGGGAGAGGAAGGGAGAAGCCGTGGGGTGAATGGGC